GCGCCGCGCCGCCGCCGCGAGCGCCCGTCCGAGATGAAGAAGGCGTCCATGGAGTAGCTGTCGGTCACGGCCGCCTCCCCGCGGAAGTAGCGCGCCGACAGGCTGGACTGCGGGCTCTCGGGGTCGCTGTACTCCTCCGGCGCCGCCGGCGGGTAGGCGGGCTCGGCCGGCGCCAGCTCCAGGCCGGGCTTCTGGTCCGCATCGTAGCTGCTGGGCGGCAGGCAGTGCGGGGCGTAACCTGCAGGGGCGGGAAGGGAGCAGGGACGTAGGTGAGGCGCCGCAGGGGGGCAGGTCACACTCCCGGCGCTCTCCAGCGCGGCGTCCCGGAGCTCGCTCTTGGGAAGTGTTGGCGCTCCTAACTAGGACGGCGGTCGCTGTCCTGCGCCTCCGCCCTGCCTGTGTTCACATCCTCCGCTATGGGCCACCGATGAAACAACCCCTGCGCCACCCTCTTGGAGCATGGCGCCCCCACGGTGCCACTGGCTGTGTGTTGACTAGCTTCTTAAGTGCTCACAACCACGCACTGAAGGTCTTACTGTTTTTCACACCCACTTTACAGACAGAGACGTAAAGCGTCTAAACTCCCAGCTAGTAAGTGATAGAGCCAAGATTCAGACCTTAGCAGGTTGACGCCAAAGGCCATGCTGCCTTTATTCTAACAGCATTCTGCCATTCCAGTGCTGTAACTTCTTTGAATCTGTTTCCTCATCTACAAAATGGAGCTTATAATTGGGCTCTCCCTCCCAGGGTCTTTGGAAGGGCAGAGTTAAGTGATGAAAAGAAGCACGTATTAAGCATGCACCGGGCCCTGCTTCAGTGCTTTATGCGTGTTAACTCATTCAGTCCTTACAGGCCCTACAAAGTGGTGCCGTTCTCATCCCCAATTTCTGTGTAAGGAAATACAGAGAAAGGGAGAGAAGGAGTACCCAGTAATTACTATATAAATGTTAGCTATTATAATTATGCTTTTTATTTGCTTGAATAAGTGTCCTCACTGAAGGTTATTTAATTGTCTGCCTACCCCACCAGGCTGTGAGCTTCCAAGGGCTGGAATTGTGTGCCCAGCATGTGCCTGGCTTAAAAAAACAGGTGTGCAATGAGCAGATGTTGCATAAATGAATTACAGCCCTGTTAGACCCATCTCCCGGGGCTGCTAGAGGATTTGAGAGGTCATGTGTGTGGCATGTACTAGGTGCTTCAGGAATGGGACTTCCTTGTACTTGCTCCTGAGCCTGTTTTGCTCCCAGCTCCACTAGAAGCATTCTGGAGTCTCCCTGTGAGAATTCACCTCCCCCCCCCTTCTTCCCTCCTCTTTGGAGTTGGACCAGAAATCCTGTCTACCTTGGGTTTGTGTGATTGGTGGGTAGGCAGGCTGAGGCTCGCCCAGGGGATTCCACAGAGGCTTCCCAAGTGCAGGGGCCACCGTGATTTGTCTCTCCTTCCCAGGGCCTAGCGTGGTCCTGGCACCCTCCTCAGACCTGGGGTCCGGGCTCTCAGGGGAATTTCTGGCAGACGTGCCCAACACTTACCGACCTGGCACCAAATTACAAAGTGTTTCCATTGTCTTTCGATTCCAGGAGAACAAGGAAAGTCAGGCCCCTTTCTGAGGCTTCGAGCTGGGGAGTGGCACAGCCAGAGATCTGACCTTCCTTCTGACCTTGAGACCCGTTCTCCCCACTCTCCAGCCTCCCCCACTCAGGAAAACGGGCGGAATAGGACTTTGTAAGCAGGGAACTGGATTCAGAGCTTTTCCTTACTTGAAACAGCCTGCCTGCCCGATCCAGCCTCTGTACCTTTCCCTCTCATCTGGAATTTGGGATGGCCACAGAGTAAAGTTTGTGCAGAGTGTCCCCCAGCCCTGAAGGCGAGGGCATGGCCTTTTTTTTCTTTCCCTTCAGCTGCTGGCACAAGACAGTCTGCACACAGAGTGACTGGGGACTGTGGGGGTGGATGACTCAGTAGGGAGGGGCTCGGGTTGCAGAGAAGGCAGTGGGGCTGGCAGTCTTTTAATGGGGGAAGGAGAGTCGCCCTGCCTCCCAGCACCCCATTCCTCCCCTCCTGTCTGCCTTTGGTCTGGAGGCACTCCCCTCCCCCCCCCCCCCCCTCCAGGAATCAGGCCCCAAAACATTCAGGGAGTATTGTTTCAGGCTGAGTTAAATACCTGCCTGGTACTCCCAGACCTCCTGTCCCTGGTACTTCTAGTGTAACTCCTGAGATGGTGATAATAACAGCAAATATTTATTGAGCGCTTACTGCATGCCAGGCTTTGGGCTGGGCGCTTCACTCCCATCACCTGACCAAATCATCACAAAAACACTTTCGCTACAGATAAAGAAACTGAAGTATGGAGTGGTAATGGTGCTTGCTCAGGGGTGGAGCAAGGATTGGAACGCACTGCCCTGCTCCCTTGCTTCCCACACACCCAGAGGTCCCGGAGGAAGTGGCTACCTCCCATCCCCAGGGCCCCAGCTAGCCAGCGCTCCATAAGCATTTGTGAAATGGGTGATAAGTGGCAATGGAGATTTGCGGGGCCAGCCTCACTCCCCAGCCCAGCGTGACCCGCTGTAGGCCATTCTGCCTACCTGGTCTTCGGACAGCTTGACTCCTGGCACAGATTCTGGGTGACCTTGAGCAAGTCATGTACCTTTCTGTGCCTCAGGGGATAGATAGTATAGGATCCATGTGTCAGGGGGTCACGGATCATGCGACCAGTGCGTGTCCTGTTACTGAATAAGGACGGCATACTGGTTAAGAGCATAATCTTGGTGCCCCACTGCCTGGATTGAGTTCTGACTTGACTGTTCCCAGCTGTGTGACCTTGGACAAACTGCTTGCCCTCTCTGTGCCGCTGTTTCCCCAGCCGTAAAACGGGGGATAATGGAAGCATGCAGACAGTTGCAGTAGGGAGTCCGCGAGTAAAGAAACCATATGTGAAAAGTGAACAGATACTAATGAACATCCTAGAGAACTTAAATGTGTCAGGTGCCATTTTGAGGGCTTTATATGCATGAATGCATTCCATCCTCTTGACTCCAAGGTTGGTATCATCTTACAGACCAGGAAATTTAGACACAAGATGGTTAAGCAACATGCCCACCTAGTAACTTAGGGCCAGGATCCCAACCCAGGATCCCAACCCAACCCAACAATCTCCCCACATGGGTTTCTGTGCTGCGGTTTTGTTGGCATCTGCTAAGACACATCTTGATGTTCTTCCTGGGCCTCTGTTGCGTCAGGACATGTAATTTCTACTTGAGGTTTGGGTGAGAAAACTTTTGGTGGGTGGCAGGAGTTCAGTGACCCAGGCCAAGTCCTCACGGGCTCCCTGCCTGTGGTGCCCTCTGGTGGCAGCCTGTAGCACTGCAGCAACTTACTCCTGTCGCTGGGGGGCTCTTTACATAGAAATAGGGGCGCCTCAAACAAAGGCTGCTCTTCAGCCTAGAGACGGATGCAGAATTGCCTTCAGGACAGGCATTGCAGACCAGACCTGATTCCCAGCAGCCGTGAAGCTCCGTGTGCGTTGTGTGGGTGGGGGCGGGGTAGAGTTGTGGGCTAGAAGAGAGTTTTCGTGGTCATATCCGAAGGAGGTGGTTCTAACTTGCTTTGTGACCTTGGCCAGGTTACCTAACCTCTCTGGACTTGGTCTGTATGGAAGAAGGTCGACTGGGATGCTTTAAAGACCCATTCTGCATCGTGGCCCTTTCTGAATTAGATCCTCAGGCCCTTTTCCTGTCCCTCCAGCACACCCCCAAGCTCCCTCAATTCTACCTCACTCTCCTCAGAGCCACCCTAGACCTCTCCTTGTCTATGTGACCTTGGAAAGTTATGTAACCGTTTTGTGCCACGTATGTATAAGGGAGCTTGTAATAGCACTGAATGAATTAATGCATATAAAGTGCTTAGTACAATGCTTGGCACACAATAGACTCCCCAGCTGCTATTATTATTATCATTATTACCCTACGTTTCCTGGTGATATCCTTCTAATCTAGCAAGAGGAGAACGAGACACACATGGGAGTCTCAGGCTGCTATATGATCTTGGGCAAACCACCTCACCTCTCCGGGCCTCAACACTGGAGAATCCTTTAGGACGCTAAGTTGTGTTCTAACTCTGTGCATGGAACCCCGATGGGTTTTCGGTGCTTTCCTCTGTTCCACAGGTGACCATAGATGGCCGAGCTACTTGTCCCCCATCTGACAGAGTGACAGAGTGGGTCACGATAGAGGCAGGAATGGCCAGGGACCCAGGGAGAAGAGACGTGGCTCTCATCCTGGTTCTTTTACTCATATCCTAGCTGTGTGCTCTTGGGCAAGTCACACAGCCTCTCTGGGCTCGAATCCCCCATTGGAGGGATCGGGACTAGAGCCACCCCTGCCACCTGGGGGAAGGCTCAGAAACCCTTTGGAGACAGCATACACATGTCACCTGCGAACGACTCTTGGCCTTCTCTGCCTAAGAGTCTCGATACTTTAGATTGAAGGTCCAGAATCCGTTAAAAATGAAAAATCTGGTAGCCAAAGGAATGGTGGGAAGGGAATTTTACGAAGATTAAGGTGCTAGGTGCTCTACAGACACGGTCTCACCCAGCTGTCTGGCCCCTTGGGGTGAGGGGAGGCATTTCTGATAAGTGCCATTACCAGTACCACTACTTTCATGGAACCTCCCCTGGGTGCCAGGCACAGTGCTAAGCCCAGAGGCCCAGAGAGGGAAGAGGATTTGCCCAAGGTCGCTGGAAGAGAAGCTAGGCTTGTAACCCTCCGAAGCCTGTGTTTTTTTCCAGAACACCCTAGCTGGATGGAGACTGCTGGGGTAGGAAGTTTTCAACTGGTGGGGGAAAGGAGCAGTGGGTTTCTTTTCCAGGTAACATCCCCCACGTGGCCCGTGTCTGATAGGATGGTGGGGTATTGGGGGCGGAGAGAAGCTATTTGAGAAACTGTTCCAGCCCCTCGTAAGTTTTTGCAAATAAAACTAACAGAAGTAATGATTGACTCTTATTAAGCGCTTACTGTGTACAAGGCACCCTGCTCAGTGCTCTGTGTACATTACTTCCTCTCTGAGGGAACGTGATAGTCACTTCCTCCAGGGCCGTATAGAAGCTGAGGCCCAGAGAGAGGCCTTGACCCACCTCAGGTCACAAAGCAAGTTCACACCCGAGTTAGGCCAGCCTCCTGCCTCTCAGTCCTTGACTCCCTTTCCCAGTCTCTCCCAGATTCCCAGGGTCCCAACCTTCCTCCA